TATGAACCGAACCAGCGTACAATCGAAGTATATTCCCCGAATATCCTGAACGTGATACGGGTAATATGATCAACGGTATATTCTCCGGATATATCTTTGATCATACTATATGTATATTCAGGGATTATACATCACGTTTATTGAATAATAAATTTAAAATATATTCAAAGTAATCTCATTTATTTTACATTGAGGGTCCGACAGGTATGTTATAAAGTATATTCAAAGTATATTCGGCGAACAAACATGCCATTTCCCCCAGTGACACTATCTAATCTTCGGACTATCTCTTTTCCTCATATCTTCTTACTCCATGTTCCATTCCCATTGTTCCTATTATTACACCCACTTTTCACATTGTTACTCAGCACTACATTTATAACTACCAATAGTGCTTATCCCTTTCTGAAGCATTACTCATCATGCTTCTTTTAGACTTATATATATACCATACAATGTAGTAGATAGTCCTCAGCTTGATCTAGCTAAATATACCTTATTCTCTACAACTCAATGCTCAGCTTGATCCTACTTGCCTTAGAAGGGGGTAGTGCATCTTAGAACCAGAAGACAGACTTGTCCTTTATATCAGGAAGTCTATAGATGTCAGACTTCATTGTTGATGGCCTTATTGAACCAATTGATTGGTCTTGGTCTAGAGGATAAGACCCAACAGCTGTAACAAAAGGTCAAGCTGACAAAACCCATCAACCTATCTAGGTTTAGATGTCATCATAGCACCCTCAACCTACGGAGTATCTGACCAAGGAGATCATAGTGAAGAAGAAGAACGAGATTCTCACAACAGCAGTGAAGAATGCAGCCAAGTAGAAGAACTACTGAGCCCCAAAATAGAAAACCCTGAACATGAGAACCCTGAAGAAATCCCTGAAGATGCAGACATCACACTCAAATCCCACTGAGTCCCCAACACAGTGAAGAATACCACAGTCCTATAGAAGGACAATCATTTGAAATAGATCCACTTGAAGACTTCAATGGAGATAGAAGCCGAACCACCGAATTTTTAACATCATGTGACATGTACCTGAGGGTAAATGGAGAAATCTATGATACAGAAGAAAAAAGAATTATCTTCTCACTATCCTTCTTTAACGGA